TGTCTGCACCTTATCTGTTAAAAATGGAGGAAATGTTCTTAATCAGATTGTATTTGTAGGAATAACTAATATTATGCTAATATAATATCAATATTCGTCTACTTTATTTTAGTATGTATTTTAATTAATGGTTATGTTCTCATTTATACATTAGGGAACACTTTGATGCTAACATTATCCAAAGCATATTTGATTTTCAACATGTTTAAGATCAGAAGTTCAGAATTAGTTTATGACCTGCAGCATAACATTAAATGAACCAAGGTTAGGAAATGCTGGACAACAGATTTTCATATATATATATATTTCATATGGATATAAGATATAATATCTGAGAAATGGATCAAAAGTTAGCAGTTATTTTGTGCTTAAAACAGTAACAAATACACATACATGTGAATTTATGCGGTTAGAAATGTACATTACAACAGTTTGTGGTTGTGCTGCAAAGCTCCGCCCACACCTGATGTATGCTAATCATCCTGTGCTGATTGGCTGTGAGTTTTAGATTGTCATTTACTAAAGCTTACAGTCTTGTTGTCAGAGAGCCCCACCCACATCTCACTCTCCAGTCAGCAACTGATGCTTAGAGACAAGCCCCGCCCTGCTTGCATTTGTTTATTCTGATCATCACAGTACAGGAGGATTTCATAACCTCATTAAAATCCCATTAATATTAATATTCATGAATATATTTAAATTTTTCTGGATATTTACTGTACCTAAAGGAGATTATAAAGTCTTTTACATTCACAGAAAACTTGAGAACCTGAATATATATTTTTAATTGATTATAATGTTGATCTGTAGCTCCGCCCACACACAGCTGTATGCTAATCCTCCAATTCTGATTGGCTCTGGGTCTGAGATTGTTGTTTACTAAGGTTTTGAGTCTTGTCAGAGAGCCCCGCCCACATCACACTCTCCAATCAGCAGCTGGTGCTTAGATGAGCCCCGCCCTGCATGTTTCATTTTCATTCATATAACCATCACAGTACAGAAGAATTGAATTACCTCATTAATATTCATGAATATATTAGCAGTTTTCTGGGTATTTCCTGTTCCTAAAGCAGGTTAGAAATCCAAAGTCTTCTATATTCTTGTATTTATCTTGTATATAGAGATTGATTCTGGAACATATAGATTTGTAATTGTTTATAACGGTGCTCTGAAGCTCCACCCACATGCAGCTGTATGCTAATCCTCCCCTTCTAATTGGCTGTGAGTCTGTGATTTTCGTTTATAGTGTTGTTTCGTCTCTCAGCTTCTCATGGACCAGGAACGGAACTCATTTCGACATCGAGAAGGACCCGAAGGTGATCATGAAGCCTCACACAGGAACGCTGGTCATCGATATCAGCGGCGGGGAGAAGACGGAGGCGTATGAGGGCATTTATCAGTGCGCTGCACACAACCAGCTGGGCACGGCCGTCTCCAGCCACATACACATCCGCCAGTCCAGTACGTGTGGGAGAATCCCCCGCCACCACTGCTGCAGTCATACTCACAGTTACTCATTTAGCTGACACTTTTATCCAAAGATTCTTATAGTCCAGGATAAAAGAAGCACTTCAGATCATCTCATTATCAAAAATCATATTTATTTATTTATTTATTTATTTTATTTATTTATTATATATTTTGTATTTATTTTTCACTTGTATTTATTTTTCTATTTTTTATTTTAGTTATGATATTTTAAATGTTATTACTTTAATTAATTTGTTTATTATTTAAATTGATTTTTATTTCATTTTATATATATTATTTATTTTTAGTTTATTTTATTAGATTTTTATTTATCATTTTTAAAATATTTGTTTTAATTATTTTAGATATTTTTATTACATTTTAATTTTTATTTATTTATTATTTAAATTTATTATATTTTTATTTATTTTTACATTTTATTTTTATTACAATTTTTTTCATATTTGTATTTAACTTATTTTTGCATCTTACTACTTTTTATTATTTTAATTTTAAAAAATTGTATATGTATTTAATTTATTTTTAATTCATTTAATTTTTAATTTATTTTTACATTTTATTTATTTAATGTTTTAAATAAAAGTTTACCTTAATTTTAAGTATTTTTTTCAAAAATGATATTTATTTTTTTGTATTTTTTTGTATTTTCATTACAATTTTTTTTAATTTATATAATAATTTTTTTAATTTATTTTTACTATATTGTTATTATTTTATTGTCATTATTATTTTTTTCCCTCTTGCCGTCTCTAACTCTGTCACTCACTCTCGTGTGTGTGTGTATGTAAGATGTGTTCAGCGTGCTGCGAGAGCTGATTCTGGCAGGTAAAGGTGTGTTTCTGCAGTTCTGCATGCAGCGTTCTCCTCTCTCTCTCCTCATAGACCTCCACATCGCTCTCTCTCCTCTCTCTCTCCCGCTGCGGTAAGCCCCGCCCCCTGCTTATCACATGATCAGGTTTCCTCTTCCTGCAGGGTCTCCTCTGTGGTCTAAGGAGCGCTTCAGCCCGATCGTGGCCCAGAAGGGTCAGTCTCTGGTGCTGCACTGCCGCCCCCCTGCGGGCCTGCCGCCGCCCATCGTCTTCTGGATGGACAACAGTGAGTGTCTGTTCAGAGAGCCCCGCCCACATCACACTGTCCAATCAGCAGCTGATGCTTAGAGACGAGCCCCGCCCTGCATGTTTTCTTTTCATTCGGATAAACATCACAGTGCAGGAGAAATTCATGAGCTCATTTAAATCTCATTAATATTCAGTATTACAATTCAATATTATTTGTTGTTTTAATTAATTATTCTCATTCTCAGCTGCTGTTTATTTTATTTAGTTTATTAAGTATTAAACATGACTGTAGTTTTGTGGTTGTGATGAACTGTAATGACCCTGGTGTGTGTGTGTGTGTGTGCGCAGATTTCCAGCGTCTCCCTCAGAGCCGGCGTGTGTCTCAGGGTCTGAATGGAGATCTGTACTTCTCCAACGTGCAGATGGAGGATTCCAGGAACAACTACATCTGCTACGCCCGCTTCCCACACACACAGACCATCCAGCAGAAGCAGCCCATCAGCGTGCACGTCACCGAGCGTGAGTGTGTGTGTGTGTGTGTGAGTGTGTTTCTGACAGCGCTTCATCATTTTAATGCACTGCGCTCAACAATGAGGCCTGTTGATCTGCGAATACCAGCGGGGTCACATGACGCACGTCTCGGCCAATCACCCGCTCCGCCTGCATGAGTCTGACGTGTGCTGTGTTCTGTTGTGTTTCAGTGGAGTTGCTCAATGACACTATGGCAGATATTTTCAATGACACTGATTGGTTCAGGGGTGAGTGACGGCGCCCCCTAGAGACTCTCACTTAACTTAACCAGATAACCTCGACCCCTGACCCCTGTGGTTAACCCTTCACTAATAGATGCTCTTCTTCTGCTTAATAAAGGGCTTCGGGTTCTTCATCATCATCATCATCATTTCTTCCTCTCTTCTAGCTCCTCCAAACCCTCATTAGTGATCTTCATTAACCGCAGTAAAACATGATAACACGAGGCTCTTCTTCTGTGCTGCTGTGTTCACTGGAGAAGCTAAATGACTGCGGGAAATATTTCATAAACATTGAGCGAGTTTGACTTGAACACTAGTGTGGTCAGGAGGATTATTTGACTCTTGTTTGGTCTGTTCCACGATTCTGGATTAACAAACTCAGGATTAGTTTAGAGTTGACTGAACTGAAGCAGTGCAGTCGGGGTTTGTTGTGATCATCAGATTTCTCTGTTAACTCTGGGTTTGATCCTGAGTTCATAAAGGCAGGACATCAACAGCCAATCACAGGCCTCGAAATATAAAGATGCTGTGATTTACATCTAAAATAATTTACATATAAAATATGAACATAACCATAACATCCTAAACATAACCTGAAAATAACTTGAAAAAATCTAGGACATATCCTGAATATAATTTGAACATATCTAGAACATAACCTAAACATAAACTGAACATATCTAGAAAATATTTATAACAAATTCTAAACATAACCTGAATATACTGTAACCTGAACATAACCTGAATATACTGTAACCTGAACATAACCTGAATATACTGTAACATATCTAGAACATAACCTGAATATAACTGGAACATAACCTGAACATAACTGGATCACAATCTAAACATATCTAGAACATAAACTGAAGATAATTGGAACATAACCTGAGCATAACTGAAACATAATCTGAGCACATCTAGAGCATAACCTGAAGATAACTGGAACATAATCTAAGCATATCTAGAACATAACCTGAACATGACTAGAACATAATCTGAGCACATCTAGAACATAACCTAAACATAACTGGAACATAATCTTAACATATCTAGAACATAACCTGAACATAACTGAAACATAATCTGAGCACATCTAGAACATAACCTAAACATATCCATAACATAATCTTAACATATCTAGAACATAACCTGAACATATCTAGAACATAACCTCAACATATTTAGAATATAACCTAAACATAACTAGAACATAACCTGAACATATCTAGAACAAAGTCTGAACATAACCTAAACATAACCTGAACATATCTAGAACATATCCTGAACATATTATGATATGAACATAACTAATTCTAAACATTACCTGAAAATACTGTCACCTGAACATAACATGACCATATCCAGGACATATGTAGAACACAACCTAAATATAACTGAAACGTAACCTGCACATAACCGGATCATCATCTAAACATATCTAGAACATAACCTGAACATAACTGCAACATAACCCGAAGATATCTAGAACATAACTCAAAATAAAACTGCAGCACAAGTTACCATGGCAACAAAGAGCTATGATCATTATGACCTTCATTATGCCTGAAACCCAGGATTGGTGCAAACTAAACTTGCTAACCAGCTAATCCAGCTTCATGGTACAGGCCCCTGGTCTTCATATGGTCAGTCATTGTGTTTCTCCAGTGAATGTGTGTGTGTGTGTTCAGGTGTGTTGTCCAGCAGGTCAGCTGATGATGTGTGTGTGTGTGTGTGTGTGTTTCAGATAAGCCGATAGAGGAGCGAGCGCCCGTATTCATGGTTCCCAGCGGCTCTCTGAGCTCTGAGCTGGTGCTGAGAGGAGAAACTCTGGAGATGGAGTGTATCGCAGACGGACTGTGAGTGTACTGCACTGCATCATCAGTGTACAGCGCTCGACACACACACTTCACCAGAGTGTTACTGTGTGTCCTGTAGAGTATATAAACACTGAAGAGCTCTGACACGTCCTGGCACATTCACTGGACAAGCAGAGTCAGATTAACTCCTGCTTTATGAGAGATTAAGTGTGTGTGTGTGTGTGTGTGTGTGTGTTCAGGCCCACTCCTGCAGTGTCGTGGAGCAAACGCAGCGGTGAGATCCCCAGCGCTCGAGCCTCCTTCCTCAACTACAACAAGACCCTGCGCATCACTGACGTCTCAGAAGCAGACGCTGGAGAATACCAGTGCAGAGCCACCAACACACACGGCTCTGTACACCACACCTACAGAGTCACTGTCAGAGGTACACACACACACACACACACACACACACACACACACACACACACATCATACACTACGGCCAGTTTAGTTCATCAGTTCCCCTATAGCGCATGTGTTTGGACTGTGGGGTAAACTGGAGCACCCGGAGGAAACCCACAGCAACACAGGGAGAACATGCAAACTCCACACAGAAATGCCAACTGAGCCGGGGTTCGAACCAGCGACCCAGCAGCCGTCTTGCTGTGAGGCGACAGCACTACCTACTGCGCAAC